CTCTTTAACCCTTACACCAAGATGCATCTTCTGAATAATTGTTATGTAGGACCTAGTTGACCCAGGGTCACGCAAAGCACCAGTCCTAGTCTTCACAATCTCAATGTCTACCAACAACAATTCGCCTTTTTTCTTTGCTTTCTTAACCCATGAACTTCGCAGATTTACCAATTTGTTTCGAAGTTCATCAAGGGACTCACCCACTGTACTCTACACAACACATGTTCAAGGCAATTTGCGTGAAGGGCCGAAGAAGAGCCATCCTCTGCCATGTGAACTTGAGAGTTGGAAGGGGTGAGTGGCGCCAAGTCAACCGAACCCTCCGGCTCAGTAGGAGCAGATGCTACTCCTAGCTTTTCTCTTTCGGGTTCCGAATTAAAGAGCACCATAAGATGATGTGCCCCTCAGTGGCACACTTCAGGCACTTACCTGCGTCCATGTGATCCTGCCATACTTTCTGCGCAATGCCCATTTTCTCCCAGGGCCTACCAGAAGTTATGCTAGGATACTTTGGAAAGGAACATGGCCTCTTCTTTCGTACTCCATTGAAGTTAGTGCCTCCCTTATTAGCCACTAAAGCGGTGACGTCACCCTTCCCAGACTCACCATTGCTGCCTTTCTCACCCTCGCTTCTTTCAAGGGGCCATCTCTCCATCGTCTCGTCATCAAAAACAACAAGGAGGTGGTCTTGTCGCTTTTACCTCCACAGAATTCACTTACTGATCCCATTAGACTGCCCACACCTCACAACTCCAGCAAACGTACCATTGACTTGGGCGGTCATTTGCTCTCTCTACAGGGCAAGATCCCTGAACTGGCGGTAGTTGTACTTACCAGACTTTGCCTCGGCGACAAGTTGACCCAGAATCGGCTCAGGCAAAGCTTGTGCAGAACCTGGTTGTGTTGCAGGTTCAAACCAGGTACCTGCAACAAACGATCCACCTCACGAGACAAAGCATCGACAGAGGTCCAGCGTTTTTGTCCTTTCGTGGTCAGTTCGTCAAAGGCTTTATATGTCGTTGTCTTATCCAATAATCTTTCTTTTATTTTCTGCAAAAAAAATTTGCGTAGGGTCATTGTTTTGGCCCACTCGCCTATGTCTTCAAAGCGAGCTGCGTTCGCCTCAGACAAGACTCATTCCTTGGCAACTTCCCCAAGGCAGGATGTCGAAAAGGCAACCTGGTTGTCTTCAGCGACATGCGTGGTCGAGCAGTACGTTTGGATTTCCGCAATCCACAACAGTAACCTTCTTACCTTTGTATGTGAAGGAAAGTTTCATTTTCATTCTCTCTTTCCTCTTCGGCCTCTCATCTTCTTTTTTTTCTGGAGGTTTCAGCCTTTTCGGGACCACATGTCTTCATGGCGTCCTTAATCAATTTCTCTTTTGGTTCCATTCGTCCTCTTTTCTCTCGTTTTCAACCACCTTGTCTTTCCCTTTGACCAGTCTAGTTACCGTATCAAGTTCTACAGTGACATGATCAATCTTGGTCTTTAGGTATGCGAGATACACCATCATGTTCTGCACCAAGGACGCCAAGTCTGATTCTGACCCAATATTTATGTTTTATTTCCTCAACTTTCTTTTATTATTGTTCTTTCTCTCTTTGCAGCCTCAAGTAGGCTTCCTTTTTCTTTCTCTCAGCCTCAAATGCATCTTGTAATTGCTTGATTATTACATCCAGAATTTCCTCATTCACTTCTTAGTCTTCTTTATTCGCACTTGGTTCTCCTTTATCTTCCTAATTGACTTCATGCCCTGCTATCTTCGCAAACTGCTCAGCAACGAAATGACCTAGGCTCAAACGAGCCTGATTGATGGTTGGTTGCACGCATTGGCTGACTTCCAGCAACGCAACAACAGGATCAGCCTTTTCTAGTTCTTCCTCAGCTGCATGGAGATTGAACTGGTTGCATACATGACGTTCCGCTTCTGGACCAGCGCCGTGCAGCTCGATGAGCAGCTGGCGAAGACAGCCAAGCATTTGTTCTCGTTTGGCATCAGTCTGTCTCCTCTTTCTCACAGCCTCCTCTTCTTCTTGATCAGCAAAGAAAGTGAGAGAGACAGGGAAGAAAAAGAGAAGGATAAACCTAGTCAGAATGGATGCCTGCAAGCATCTCCAAACAAAAGTCATGTTTGCAAACGAGAATGATGCACAATAAACTTAAATTTCAATTGCAAATTCCACGGCCTCAATCCACAAATCAATTTTGAGACAATACAACAAGAAATAAAGAAACAAAAATAACCAAAGGTTCAGAAATCCTATTTTCTATTTCTACTTCTAATTTCTAGCAGCGAATTGTGACCGATGATATTCTAATTTGAGAGACTGCAGGTTCCTGGGCCACGACCAGTGAGATCAAGACAACACACAATGGTGAGTCCGCAGACATCCACAAGACAGCCCACGATATGTAAGTATGCAATGAGCAACACGCGAGACAACCACATTAGTTGGCTGCTGCTTTCTTGCTGTCCACTTGCAGATGTCTGTGTGACCAACACGTAGCCCGGCGCGTGGCACTACAGCATAATCTAGTGCTGTACTGCCCACCTGGTTCCACACGTGCAAGGTTTCCCACCTCTGGCCTGTGCTTATCAGCCGTGTGCCAAGTCAGCACGACAATACCAAATGTGCCACGTCAGCTCACATGTGCCATGTCATGGGCCCTGCAATGGCCACATCAGAAATGGAGTACTGCCTCTGCCACTTCAGTACCGGAATACTGCCTGAAACCGTATCTGCTCCTCTTTGGAAGATGCCGAGTCAGTGGAGATATCGCGCTGCTCTCATGGACAATGCCGCGTCAGCAAGAGTACCTCGCTACTCCTCTTCGAGGTGCCACATCAGCTCCTGTGTGAAATGCCACCTCGACAGTGCAGCATGCCACGTCAGCAAGAACGGGTCAGCAGGAGGTGCATACACTGACACAACTGTGCCTGCCACATCAGCAAGCCTCTGTCCACGTCAGCATCAAAGTGTAGACCACGTCAGCAAGGTGCCTTCCACCTTAACTATCACCTGCCATACTCGTCTTCCACCTCCTGAGTGATGGTAAGTGCCTTCTCGGATGTCCATGTCAGCGCACCTTCTCAACTCACAGCCTCTCACTGTCGAGTGCCACAGCAATCTCCTCGCCACATGGCACAGGTATTTCATCGCCCGCCAATGCAGTATACAGCAGCAATAATATAAATGGCGATACTGCTCTTCTTCTCCACGGCAGACAATCACATCGTCCTATCATCATCATCATAATTTCTCCCCGGTCACAACCAGCAGCGCACGAAGTAGGAGGATATCGTGAACCCAATCGGGATCAGAAGCCAATCAGTGTCGTGATACAAGTCTGAGCCCAGCTGACAAATAACGTCTCCAAAATCGTTTATATATCCATGCCCAACATATATGCACTTCCCAAGAACATTGTAACCTCAGAGAAGAGAAGAGGTAGTGGGGCGAATTAGACAGAGTGGAGGAGAAGAAGAAGTGCCCCTGTCACTCATGCATGAAGCATCTTCTAGCCCACTTCCTCCTCGGGCAGTATCTTCCCCCTCGTCGCCACCTCAGCAAAGCAGTCTCTCTCTGACGTTCTCTGACAATACAGTGTGCAGGTCACAGTCGGGTGCAGGTCTTCCTCACCTTCGTGGAGACTAGCAGAAGATCACTCACAACCTCGCCAGGTAAGTCGAGGTAAGCCTCCCCTCATCCACCCCTCCTCCTTGCCCAATCTGCACACACTGTCCAATACTAAGGAGGTGATGGCCGCTCAAGCAGAATCTCCCCTCTGAAGCTGGCGCCAACAGAGCAAAGCTCGCGCCAGCATAGGCTCCCCACCGCCTTGCAGTATTGAACTAGTGTCAAGCCAGTGCAAGGCAGAATGATCTCCAAGCAGGGACTGGGTCAACTTCATAATGTTGAGCCATGTTGAACAGCCTCTGGTCTCCTGGGGTCGACAACCCGGATCAATCGGAAGCCAATGGCCTGGATGCAGCGCAGTTGCATGTGCCCCACTTGGACTAGATTCTTCTGGATACCAGCAGACAACCAATGATGTGCATCTGATCGACGACCGTGGCTGACCAGCAGGTTGACTTTGACTTTGGGCCTGGAATCCAGTGCTGGGGTTGACCATTGACTTTCCCAAAGTCAACTGTCACTTTCAGGGCCTCTGGACGCTGTTTTTGGCCCTGCCCTGGGTACCCCTTGACCTGAGGCCTTTGCCCAGGCTTTCCTCAGACTTAGGGTGTGACTTTTGACCCCTGTTTTGGGATTTGATTAAAAGCAACGACCTATAACCGGCTTATGCAGATTTGGGCTGAGTTATTGCAAAATAAAGAAAGACTGATAAAAACTCACAACACAGGGAGAAAGGGAGGAGGTACCTCAACCACATATGCCTGCTAGCTGACAGCCTCCATTTGTCTGCACCCATCTCCCCACCTGACTCATGCCCGACTAAATTTAGCAAGGCTGATAGAAAAGACTAATAAAAACTCACAACGTGAGGAGAAAGGAAGGAGAAGGTACCTCGCTGGTTGTACACAAACACTCACTTTGACACGTTGAATCGAATAGTTGATAGTTCAAATCCTGTTGAAATACCAAAACAGCAAGGCTTACCCTCCAAAGAGAGAAAAAGGGAGAAAGCGAGGGAGAAAGAGAAGGAGAGAGAGAAGCAGGAAATGAAAGACAGGGTAGAAAGAGAGGTAGAGAGAGAGGCAAGAAGGGAGAAAGACGGGGAGAAAGAGTCAGAAAGTGTGGCAGGAAAGAGAGAAAAAAATGGAGATATAGAGGGAGATATAGAGAGCAGACGACAGAGAGGGTGGAAGCGGCAGGAACAGAGAGGTAGAGAGACAGGGAGACAGGAAGAAAGAGTGGCAGGAAAACGGAGAGAAAAGGAAAGGAAGAAAGAGCAGGAGAAAGAGAGAGAGAGAAAGAGAGAACGAGAGAAAGAGAGAAACAAGGACATGGATAAGCACATGCGCACCTTCTTACCTCGTGAATGTGAGAAGGCCATCGCTCAGGCCAAGTAAGGATTGCTGCTCTCGGAAAGGCACATCCTCTGGGAAGAAGAACAGGATCTTGTCAATTTCTTCCCCCTAGTGAATCAACCATCAAATGCAAGGACTCGTCAGATACTATTACATGCCCAGTTGGGCGATGTACATCTAAACAAGGGATCCGCAATGTGATGAAAAGGACTGAATGGACAATGCATTGCAAGTAGAATCTCAACAAGCAGTGTACATCCTGATACGTACAAAATGGTGTTTTATAGCGCAGTGGAAGATTTAGATACAAGTCCTGACCTGACCGAGACTGACCTCTTTCACGTAGTACAAGATGGCGAAGCAGAATGCTAGAATACTAATGACTAGCCCCAATCAATGTTTCAACGCAGACCAAACATACATCATGCTCATCACAAGGTGTGAAGGGGCCTGGCACTATACACAGGAAAGAGGCGCCAGGTCCAGACATACACAGACGAAGAGGAGGGGATCAGACGAAGAGGAGGAAGGGGGAGATAGGAAAGTCGTCAATACCAAGTGTCGTTACAAGTCCCAAATAATCCCTCTTCAAAATGTCTGAAGTCCAATGTCGAGTCTGGATCCAAATGTCACCAACCTCTCTCTCTCTCTCTCTCTCTC